ATTTCAGGTGTATATATTTAGTTCTGTAAATGTTTAAGCAGATACTTCCAACATTATTTAGCTATGTAAGTGCACATGTGTCCTGTAATGCCCAAATAGGTCAGAAGAGGGTGTCGGATCCCCTGGATCTGAAATTACCGATGGTTGTTAGCTGCCATAGGGGTGCTGGGAATAAAACCTGGATCCTCTGGAAGAGCAGCCAGTACTCTTAGCACTGAGTCATCTCTCCAGCCCTAGGACAAAGTATCTTAAATCCATTTTCCAAAGCCGGGCATGGTGGCACAGGCCTTTAATCCCAGCATTTGGGAGGCAGAGGCAGGTGGATCTCTGTAAATTTGAGGCCAGCCTAGTCTACATTGGGAGTTCCAGGCCAGCTGGGGCTACAGGAAGACCCTGTCTCAAAAAGACCCCCCCCAAAAAAAATCCACTTTCCAATACTTGGTAGATAGAAGCAGTTCAGTTCAAGGCCATGGTTGGCTACACAGCAAGTTCCAAGCTATTTGTGCTACATCAAGACCCTCTTTAAAAAAATCAAAATGCCAGGCATGGTGGTACATGCCTTTAATCCTAGTACTTGGGAGGCAGAGGCAGGTGGATCTCTGTGAGTTTGAGGCTAGCCTGGTCTACATAGCAAGTTCCAGGCCAGCTGGGGCTACAGGAAGACCCTGTCTCAAAAAGACAGAAAAAAAAATCATTGACTTGATAATTGTATTATGTCAATGTTTCATAAATGCCATTTTCTCCCAACACACATTTGAGACAGGTTCTCACTATGTAGCTCTGGCTGACCTGGAACTCTGGATGTAGAACAGGATGGCCTCAAATTCAGAGATCTGCCTACTGCTGCCTACCAAGTACTGAGATTAAAGGTGTAACACCATGTCTGACTTGTAAATTGGGCTGGGCATGGTGGCACACACCTTTAATCCCAGCATTCCAGAGGCAGAGGCAGGTAAATCTCTTGTGACTTCAAGGCCACCCTGCTCTACATAGTGAGTTCCAGGCCAGCTGGAGCTACAGGGAGACCCTGTCTCAAAAAGACCAAAAAACCAAACCAAGACAGTAAACTGAGAGCTGGAGAGATGACTCAGTGGTTAAGAGCACTGGCTGTTTTTGCAGAGGATTCAGGTTCGGTTCCTAGCACCACGTGGTGGCTAACTGGTCTAACTCCAGTTCCATGGTATTCAATACCCTCTTCTGGCTTCCACAGGCATTCATTACATGACATGGGTATACTTAATACATGCAGGCAAAACACGCACATAAAATATATGTAAAGTATATGCATGTAAGTGCATCATGCGTATACAGTGCCCATGGAGGCTAGAAGGCTTCAGATTCCCTCGGACTGGAGTTACAGATAGCTGTTAGTTGCCATGCATGTGGGTGCTGGGAGCTGAACCCTGTTCCTCTGCAAGAATAGCCATTTCTCCAGCGCTCTTTAGTTGGCTGGGTGTGGTGGCACATGCCTTTAATCTCAACACTCAGGAGGCAGGGGCTGGTAGATCTCTCAGTTCAAGACCAACATTGTCTACATTGTGAGTTGCAGGCCAGCTGGGGCTACAGAGACCCTGTCTCAATCACACCCCCGCCCCCCCCCCAAAAAGAATGTTTAGCTTCCGGCTGAGGATGTAGCTAAGTCACAATCCCAGCACTTGGGAGGCAGAGGCAATAGGTCACTCTCTGCTACAACATAGTGAGTTCAAAGTCAGTGTGGGAGCGACATGAAACCCTATCTCAAAAAAGAATGGTTAGCTTTGACAGGATCAATTTCATTTAGAAATCCAATGAAAATGATGCACATTCACATTCCAAATTTTAAAGTGTTCATTAATGATAGCTTGGAAACATGGTTTTTAAAAACCAATAACGTGGGGCATGGTGGAACACGCCTTTAATCCCAGCACTCAGGAGGCAGAGGCAGGGGGATCTCTGTGAGTTCGAGGTCAGCCTGGTCTCCATGGTGAATCCAGGACAGCTGGGGCTACAGGGAGACCCTGTCTCAAAAAGACCAAAAAA